AGCTCCACTGTGCCCGGAGCGAGCCCAGGACTAGCATGGGGGCTCTGTGACAGGGGATCAGAGGGAGATTGGTACACGATCTCCCTCCGTCCCCTCTCCGGTGTCAGAATGCGGAAGTGATGTATATTACATCACTTCCACATTCTTGTGTCATTCAGAGAAGCTGATGAAACATATCTCTGCTTCATCAGCCTCTTTAGTGGTCCCTAGGTGACATTAGGGGTCTTGGAGACCCCTGATGTCTCTATAAAGAGGACCTGTCACATCTCTTTGCTATCACATAGAGGGTTTCTTAGCCCCCTATGTAATAACAATTACGTTAAGTGGAAAAAAAAAACATACAGGAAAAAAAAATGAAAGTTGCAAAAAATTTTTTTAAAGTCACACATGAAAAAGAATAAAAGAAACACCAAAATGTTTTTAAAGTCCCCACCCATACAAACATGCGTCAGGTGCGCATACGTGCGAAAACGATGATTGCGCCCATTACGCCGCACATGTTACATTTTGCTGCGAACGTCGCAGTAAGAGCAATAATTCTAGGCCCATCAATCACTGATAACACTAAACTGAAGAGCGGTAAAAGCTTTTAAAGCGTCGCCTATGGTCAATTTTGGGTATGGTAGTTTTTTGCAATTTTAAAGCTTGACATGTTTGGTGTCTATTTACCTGACGTGACCCCATCTTTTATATTTTACTAAAAAATTGGGTAATAATAATTGTTTCCTAACATAATGTAAACAACAACAAAAAATGTCAAACTTTTCAGTAATGCTGCAGTGCCGTCCGTCCGTTTTTTTACTACGGGCGGACGGCAAGAGGTTAATATAGTAAAAAATAAAAATTTCATTAAATACCACCATAAGAAAGGTCTTATCTGTCCCTAAAAAATGGTATAAAATTAATTTCAGTACAGCGTTGCGTGACGGAATAAATGTCAGTCAAAGTACAGCATCGCTGAATACTGAAAACTGGCCTGGCCAGGAAGGGGTTGTAAACCAGTGGCGTAACAATCACCATAGCGACCCAGGCGGCCGCTATGGGGTCCCGGGGCACAGGGAGGTCTGGCCAGGACATCCCCCTGATGCCGTGCGGGCCGCCGGGGTCGCTATGGCATTTCAGGCTGCTGGCTGTCACTGGCGGCTGTGAGGAGAAACATGCAGCCATTCACATGTGCAGCGGCGCGTACCTCCTCACAGCTGCTGAGTCGATGACAACCAGCAGCTTCGGGGAGGTGGCTGGGCCCGTTGTCGACATTGATGGATGAGGCGGGGCCCAGCGATCGAGGAGGCAGGTCTTAGCAATTGGGAGGTGGGCCCGGCGATCCAGGAGGTGTGGCCCAGTAACGGAGGAGGCGGGGCCCGCAAGCGATCGTGGAGGAGAAGGAGGCGGACAGAGGATCGGCCAGACAGGTAAGAGATCTTGACCGCCCATCTGAGACCCTGCAGAGCTCACCACAGAGAGTCTATGGTGGGCTCTGCAGGGTCACCCTCAGATGGGCTGTTTGGGTTATCAGGTGGACTTATCTAGAAATCACAGGGCCCCATACAAGAGTTTGCTATGGGGCCCTGTGATTTCTAGTTACGCCCCAGGTGTAAACCCCTGGTCTTCAAGTGGTTAATGCAACACACGTTATTGCATGACATAACCCATGTAGAAATGTAAATGAGCCCTTAGTGTTTTCTACAAGTGTAGCCCATTCACAGGACTCATAGAAATTAGAGAGCCATCTAATCCTGTCAGAAACACTGAAACCAACACCTGTTATGTCTTTGAGTAGGTTTACTCAGAGGTGTAAAGGTGGCCTTAAGGTGCCCATACACTGCACGATTCTCGTACGAGAATCGCGGGAAATCCCGCGATCGTACGAGAATCGTGCAGTGTGAATGAAAACGTGCAACCGTTTCTACTGTACAGTCGCATGTCTTTTGTCTAAGGAGCATGCTAGAAAACCAGCCGGCTGGTTTGAATGATGCTCGGGAGACAAATGCCGAACGGGCCGGGGTGCGCACGCGCACACTGCTCGTTCAGCATTGTGGTCAAGATGGGCAGATCATACGTTTTTTAAATTACTTTACAACCATCGCAAGACTACGTTCTTGCGATGGTTGTAAAGTGTATGGCCACCTATACACTTTACAACCCTCGCAAGACTTTTGTCTTGCGAGGGTTGTAAAGTAATAAAAAAAACTTACGATCTCCCCATCTTGGACAGGCAGATCGTACTTGCGATCATCACAAGCCCACCCCCCTGAGTGGCAGGCATCCAACGACTGCAATGAGGGGCGGGCTTCCGATGACTGCAAACGGGCAGTGTGCACGTGCGCACACCGACCCGTTCAGCAGGTGTCAAACAAGCAGGCCACTAACACGCCGAGAATTGTACGATTCGTGGTGGGTTTTCCAGCCTGCTTGTTCGATGGAAGACGTGCGACCGTACAGTAGAAACGGTTGCACGCCTTCTATACACTTTGCGATTATCGTACGATCGCGGGATTTCCCGCGATTCTCGTACGATAATCGTACAGTGTATGGGCACCTTAACAGACAGACTCACTAAGGCCCGGTTCGCAGGGTAGCACTGCAGTAATGCATGCAACAAACTGCAGTGTACAAAATGTGTGTTGTATGCATTACTGCGTTGCAGCGCCACCTTTACAATGGTAGAAAGTCCATGGTCCCATCGCACTCCTGACCGCGAAGATCCCTTGAGGAAATGGGTGCTGCGTTAGTCAACGGGTGGCAGCCGTAACAATCATGAACAGAAGCAGGGACATACTGCTTTGCCTGATGAAGGGGATACTCTGTGATCCCGAAACGTTCGTTGCTATTTTTGTTATAGTGCACGTCAATAAATAGACGTTTGCTTACCAATTTGGAGTGACGGTGTCCCTGCTTCTGTTCATGACCTTTACAATGGTACCTCAACACACCTAGTTAACAGACATGAGGGGCTGCACTTCACAAAGCACAGTAACACACTATTGTGTGTTGTGATGCACTGTGTTTAAAAATAGTACATGCACGTTTTTTGGTATGGTAGGTGACTCATTGAAATAAATGGGCTGTCTTAAAGCAGGACTCTGGGCAAAAATGTTCTTAACCCTTAGGCCCCATTCACACTGAGCGTATCGCAAATCGCGGGTTTGTTGCGCGATATTGCGCAAATGGTTGCATTGAGCAAAGTAGAATTGCGCCGAAATCCGCTCCAAAAAGGGTCCTGTTGTAGCGACCCGCGACATCGACGAACAGAGCCCCATTGCCATGCATTGCAGAGCGATATCGCGCTGTAAATATCCACTATATCGCACGGATTACCGCGCGATCAAACGCTCAGTGTGAATGGGGCCTTACAGTGGGGCTACCTCTACACTGCAAGGGTTAACTGCTCATTTTTTTCTAGGTGCTAAAAAAGGTTAAACTCACCCGAACCGCATAGCTGACTGCTACTCCAGTACCTGAAGCCTGTCTCCTCCTATGCTGTCCTTATACACATTGAATAAAATGTGATGACTCAAGGATCCTTAGACCACTGGAGTGGAGGGGTAGAGGCTTCAGGAACCCGTGCGAGCAAGCTGGCTCAGCGGATCAGGTGAGTATAATTTTTTTTTAGCACATAGACAAAAATTAGCACTTAGTCCTTGCAGTATGGGTGTAGCCCCACCGCAAGGGTTAAAAAAACTTTTGTCCCCAGTTCTGCTTTAAAGTAATATTAAACACTCAAATCTTTTTTTTTTATTATTGTTATGTATCCAAATCAAAACAATATATATTACCCAGAAAAGTGTTTCTCGGCTCAGCTTCCCTGAACTTCCTGTCCAGTACAAGATCACAAGGGATAGAGCAGTTGACAGCAGATGTCCATCTACAGGCTTGGAGAAGGAAAGAGGTGGGAGGAGAGGGGATCGGGGGGGAGGAGGGGATTGGCTTGCCTTGCTGTGCCTGTGTGCTTGTGGAGACACACACAGCTAACTAGCACACACAAGGGTGGCTCCATAGAACCCACCCTAATACAGGATATCAGGGCCAGTGCTCAGGGGACCAGCTGATTCTGCAGGAAACTACAACTTTCAAACATTGTAAGTGATCTCATCAGCATCTGAAATAGCTTAAAAACCTTTTTGACTTTAATATGCCTTTAATGCAATGCACGTCAAGGCAAGAAAGAGTGCACATCAATGTGAATGCATTGCCACAGAGCAACAGCGTGAAGTGACATGTAGCATGCGGGATAAAACCTATGACACGTCATGAAATGAGACAGAAAACTAATAACAGCAGCAAACGATTCACTGACTGCTCCGATGCATTGGAAATATGAAGGTAACTGGAAGAGTTTGTTGGATGTGTGCTTAGGAAATAGGGTGTGGTGCTGTTAAACGTTATTTCCATTTAAGTTTTCTAGAGAGACTGTTTCTAATTCTCCCTGGAATTCCTGTGGTATTAAATAATAGAGACTCCCACAAATAAAGCTGTCATTCCTGAGGGCAGAGTTCGCCTTGCAGTTTTATATTAAAATGCTTATAATATGAGGGAATGGAGCCGTACTGAAGAGTTCTCTGTCCCGGCAAACAGACGTTTCCTGGTATGACAAAAATATGCTGCACTTTTTTTTCCCCTTCTCTTTCTCACATGAACAATTCTTAGGCAGGCAGCCCCTGACATTTGGACTGGAGATCTCCGCCTCACTTTGTTTACACAGTTGTCTCCATTCATTCAGTGAAAGAAATCACTTCCCTAGTGGTAGATGATAAAAGGCTCTCTGCAGCGGAGTGTCAGAGTCACTGGGAGACCCAGCAGCACATTCCTGTTCTCAGGCTCAGAACAAGCTCTTTCCATTTCTTAAACAAACTATTTATTTTCCTTTTAAGAAGCATGCAAGAGCCCAACAGGAGATCACAGCTTCCTAGCAGCTGTCACTATGTAGATTGCCTGAAGAGATGACCTCAGCTCGGAGAGGAACCCTCAGGAGCTCATTGATAAGGTTTCTCTGTGCCTGGGTCTGTCGGACGTGTGGTGGGAGACGCCCCAAGAGCAAGAAGAGTCTACTACTGCTGTGCACTGCTTGTATTCTGTATGGGATTTTTATAGTAAGTCAGGTGGTCAACGTTTTACCACAGAAGCCCACTCAGAAAGTGTCTACCACACAGCGACCACGGAACATTTTGGAACAGAACACATTTTATGTGGAAAATTCCCAGCCAGATGGGGGCGCTGTAAACAACTCGCCAACACTGCAGCCTAATGTTGTATACATCACTTTGAGGTCCAAGAGAAGCAAGCCAGCCAATATCAGGGGGACAGTGAAACCAAAGAAGAGGAGGAAATCTGGATCGCTGGGACACAATGAGCTGGGGTACAGCATCTTCCAAGGTATTCATAAAATGGAGGACAAGCTTGGGGAAGGGACTCAAAAAAGGGGAACCCCCACCTACAAATCCGGGGACCTGGCATTTACTATTGTAGGTGATGCTAGGGGGGAGGCTAACAAGCATCAGAGTAACATTAGAATATACAGTGACAGCGCACCGCCATGGTTTAGTCCAAATGACATCAGGGCAATGCGGTTCCTAGCTGATTCTAGGATACAAAAGATTACACAGGTGCCGGCAAGCCATGCACATTTCATCCAGTTTGACATGCCGTCCAAGAAAAACCCGGTTTCGTCAGCCTGCCAGGGAACGTGTGGTCTTGTTAAAAGACCCTTGGACATGAGTGAAGTTTTTGCTTTCCACTTGGATCGGATACTGGGGCTTAACCGGTCACAGCCAGCTGTAAGCCGAAAGTTTGAGTTTGTGCAAGGTGAGAGGATCTATTGTTCTCTTGTAGAATAGATCTGGTGTCCTGAGTCACATGTACAATGACCACCTGTCCTGACTTCTTGCTGTCCTTCCTGCTGTACTCTATATCCTTTATGGGAATCATATACTAAAAATGTCTGATTGTAAACATGTGTTGTCCACAACAGCCAATAAGATTCTTACTTTCACTTTCTGACTGCCATACAAATTCAATTGGGTTGCTAAGGACAACAAAGACTCTTTCCTTTCAGACATTTTTGATATTTGAGACTAAATATCTTGACGCAATCTACAAGTAAGACATTTGAACTGTGAATTCCTTGTAGGAAAAGTATGTTATCAGATATAGTTTGGTAGGACTTTTTCTCTTGTTAGTGTGAGATTTGCTCAAACCCTTCACATTGTATACTATTTTGGAAGTGTTTGAAAACACTTTAGGTTGTGTGATCATTTATTGTGCAAACGTGTATTTGTATTGCTTATCAAGGTAGTTTACTAGTTTGGTGTAATTTCTCTCCTGAATGAATGTCATTGATAATTTGCTCTTAACTGGGATCTGATAATTCTTTATTTAAAAAAGAACTCCAAGCAAATAAAATCTTAATCCTTGCAGTGTAGCTACCCGCACACTGCAAGGGTTAAGTGCTCATTTTGTCTAGGGAGATAAAAAAAACAAAGTTATACTCACCCGAACCACAATCCCAGCTGACTGTTAGACTGGTCCCTTCAGCCTCTCTCCCCCTCTGCTCTGGCGGCCTAAGGTCCTATGAGTCATCACGTCCTATACAGTGTATGAGATGGGAGGACGCTAAGAGAGATACCATAGCTGGAATGGAGGATGAGACAAGCTGAAGGGAGCAGTATAGGAGCCAGCCAGGATCACGGTTTCGGTGAGTTTAACTCTGTTATTTTAGCTCCCTAAACAAAACAAGCACTGCAAGGGTTAAAGGCACAATACACTCAAGAGATAGACCTAAAACATGCATTCAAGTATCTAAACTATTAACAAAAATGTATCTTATTTGTGTATCACGCAGCTGTAGATCCTCAAATCATCTCTGAATTCATACTGACACTCTCCTTCCTTCTGGAGGGTGGTTACTTTTGTTGCCCATCGTCTCTGTATGGCTTGTAAAGTAGCCACTGCTCCAAGCTCACTCCTGTGATGGACTACAATCTCAATACAAATTAGTAAACTAAACGTGAGATTATAGTTCATCACAGGAGCTTGGAGCGGTGGCTACTTTACAACACACACAGGGACCATGGGGAACAAAAGTAGCCAATCCCCCCAGAAGGAAGGAAAGTGTCAGCACCAATTCTGAGATAATTTGAGGATCTATAGCTGAGTGATACACAAATAAAATACATTTTTGTTAACAGTTAACCTTCTTGGAAGTATTCCCAAGTGTGGCTTGGGGTTAATTTTCAGTACCAAAAGCGGTAACCCCGAGCCACACTCGTGATTACACAGCGCTTCACTTACCTTCTCCCTACAAGCCGCGCTGTGTCCTCCGGCCGATGCCGGCATCCGTCTTCTGGGTTCTGTCCCTTTCGAGTGGCCGCGTTGCAGGGGGGCGGAACCAGCGGGAAATTTAAAAAAATAAAAAAACGGAAATAAAACGATAGACAAAAAAAAGCAAACAATATTGGGATAATCAGACTGCCAGGGAGGTTAAGGTACTTGAATGCATTTTTAAGATTTGACTCCTGAGTTTACTGTCACTTTAAGATTTGATTTGCCTGGAGTTCTTCTTTAGCATTTGGACTGTACCAAGTAAGACTAGCTATGTTGGTTCCACAAAACCCAGCAGGCTGTGCTCATCAAAGATTGACTGTATATTTGGCAAATCTAATTCCTCAAGTCCTCTCCCCATTTTTTCCTAACACTGCTGTGTAAGGTATGAGATATGCATCATCGTTTCTATAGTTACTAAATATCATACACCGAGAATATGTTGTTCTGTCATGTACTATTAGTGTAAACCTTACAAGAGAGTTTATTGATGCTATAATTGTCCCTTGTTATCCAGGACAGTTGCTGTAAGGTCTAGTTCACACCTAGGCGTATTGCATATGCGCGTGAATCGCGGTAAAAAAATCGTGCGACCGTCGCGCTTTTCCGAAAGCTACTTGGCTGTATCCCAATGGAAACGCACAACAAAACGGCCCAAAGTAGTACCTGTACCTTTTCAGGCGTGGGCCATTTTGTAGCGCGTTAGGGACGGGCGGAAATACGCCAAGGTGGGAACGAGACCATTGAATACAATGGGATTTATATTTTTGAGCGTTCGTCGAGCGTAGAACGCGCTACAAAACGTTCAGGTGTGAACGAGGGCTAATTCATTAAACAGTGTGCAGTATACCTTCAGAGACTACTATAGAAAATCACCATGTGGAATGGGATATGCGTTCAGCAGTTAATGTCCTACCTTGAGTAGTTGCGTTGTACAAAATGAGTAAACCTTTGCTAACTAAAAATGGATCATTGCATTGTTGCGATTATTTGTATTCTTATTTTCTTCTGCTGGGGTAATATTTCTACTGATTTTGTAGAGTTTGTATTGATTTCGCATAATCAAGAAGACCTTCAGTATTTGGAATGGCCTGCTATAATGGTCTACTCATTTCTAGTATCCAGTTATATAGTCACTAATCCTGACAAACCTACTAGATTTTCCATATATCTGTTAGATCAGCAACATTAACAAATAACTATATAGGGTTTGGGCACACCTATACATTACAGGTTATATAGATCACATTTCAATGCATCTTAATGCATAATTTCAGCTTAAAGTTAAGAGATGTATTTATAAGATTAATGTTGTAATTTTACATTTACAAAACTTGATAACATAATACAATAATGCATGGAAATTTAGCTTGAGAGCTTAAAAGCCTCAAACTTGCTTGTACAACAGATGTGCATAACAAAATTGTCTCTGTTCCCCACCACCCCACCCACTCTGCCCAGTGAACTTGTGGGGCTTGGCTGCCTTTAAGCCAGCCAAGTCCCATTCAGTGTTTTAAGAGCTTCATCTCAGCTTGCTGGTTCTGTGCGCTGAGCTGCGCATGTGAACAGAAAAAAAATTAAAAATTGCTGACACGCAGGTAAGAGATTTTTTTGTAGAAGAGGCTTACACAGTCTCATCTGCCAAAAAGAAACTGCCAGCCAGCAATTTTTTAAAATTGCATTTTACTTCCGCTTCAAGAACACCTCTTTATTGAATAAGACTGCAAATGACCTGACTTTTGCAGATGTATTCTTATTGTAATAAAATGAGGCGTTTTGTGTAATGATTTCATCTTGTTAACTTTATCAGTGAATACTGATTTGCTTGCTCTTCAAATATTTTCATAAGAAAAACTGAGGTCATTAATGTTTGTGATAGCGGCAGATAACATTCAGAATAAAAAATTATTCTAAACATTACAGCCAATTTACAGGGTCTGAGAGAGCAAAGTACTTTTATTTGAGTGACAACTTTATGTAAATGCAGAGTACAGTTTTACTATCAATATTTATCTCTTGCTGTTCAGTTATGATTAGACCTGAACGGTTGTTTTTCCATCTGACATTTAGATCCACAGGATGATCCATGTCGGGCAAGTCCTCTGTAGAGCTGTACGTGCAGCGCCAGCTTTTCTCTATTCAATCTAGAGAGAACAATAGGATAAAAAAGGATCAGCATTACCTTATGTCCTGATGCAAGCTGCTCCTATCCCAAGGATATAATGTCAAAGGAATTCAGCACCATGCTAGAATAAATTAAATGCAGCTACTTTTTAGTAGAAAACATTTTAGTTCATAAGGCCACTAACAAGGTGCACGGTGAACATATCCCATAACGCACCAGTTACCCAATACCATACATTAAACAACATAGCTGTTCAAAGGTATGATGACATAAGAGATTGACTATGGTTAGCAGATGGCACAACTATTTCTATCTGCCCTTATTTTCTTGCTTGGCTTTAGGCAGAACATAACTGTTAAGTCTCCCCCACACCATTGGGTAAAGTAGTCCAGATATTCCAGCCCCCACACCATTGGGTAAAGTAGTCCAGATATTCCAGCCAAGGATTCTCACAGCTGGTGTTTCACTGGTATGGACCAGCTGGAGTATGCTTTAATACAGTGGAATCTAGCCACAGCTGAACTTTCACAGTCTGGTTTCTTTATATTTTAAGAAATTAGACCAGTGTATTTGAAGAAGTCCAAAGGGTTTTAGGTTAGTGTGCACATTTTATAGGAAGCAATTACCTGTTTAATATAAACTATATGCAGACCCATTCACTAATATCTCATATAATCTATAACATGTTAATGAATTATCAGTGGTCATCCCAATCTTTTCAAATCAAATGGTTTCACTAAAATGATACCTGGTGATCCTGCCATAAGAGTCCTCCCTGTTATAGGGTAGCAACGCCATGTCTATGTGCTTCTAAATTGTCACATTGGCTTTGAATGCAGATTGCAAGGGGGCATTCCAACACACATTACACAGGCAATTGTTGTCACAATCAGGAAACATGCCCTAAGAAATGCCATGCAGCCATCGCTGGAATGCATGCATGTAGATAGAAAGTGTTTGCAGAGAGACTGCAGGAGATCACTAGTACTAAGATACAACAAAGGATGAGAAAAAGAAAAAACAAGTATTTTATTTAAAAAATACAATTGTTTATGATAAATAGTGCTTTAGCACTGATCCACACAAAGTTTTGTAACAGTAATATGTGGACGCTTCTTACAAGCACTTGGGTACTGTGCCTGTCAGATATCCCTACAATAATTCTTCTCACAAATTGCTGCCTATCATGGCATCTGGTTATTTCCTCTTGTTTTGGTCTATTCCCACTCTAGCATTTACAGAATAACTCCGGGCATGTCAAAAAATGTAACCCTTGCAGTGAGGCTACCCCCGCACTGCAAGGGTTAAGTGTTTGTTTTGGTCTAGGGTCTAAAATAAAGAAGAAATACTCACCTGATTC